AATTTTATCAGTCTAATCACAATAAAATATTATTATTAAATATTAAAATATTATTACAATTAACATTTAAATATTTAAAATATATTAAAATGATGCTCTCTATCGAAATGTTCGATTTACATCAGAGCAGTGTAAAAGATGATGCTCTGATGTAAATCGAACATTTCGATAGAGAGCATCATTTTAATATATTTTAAATATTTAAATGTTAATTGTAGTAATATTTTAATATTTAATAATAATATTTTATTGTGATTAGACTGATAAAATTGAACAAGTAATATTCAAAAGCAAAATTTTAATCAAAATTTCTGCAGCATTTTCAAATTTACAAGTAAACGTTACAGAACGTGAGGACTGGGCATGTAGCACGTAGGGAACCGCGAGGAAAGCGTCCATTTGTAGGACGAAGAAATAAATGGAAGAATAATATTAAAATGGATCTTAAGGAAAACTTCCTTCGCTTGGCTGAGGACTGTGTTTAATGGCGACCGCACGTCTTAACGATGGTGAAGTTAAGGAGAGATGGTTAACTTGAAGCAAATTTAAAACTTGTTATGTTTTAATAAATGGTCTATGTCTGGTCGATGTCAGTCTAATCGATATCGCTGCTCTGTGTTATGCTGGACAGAGAGAGAATGAGTTTTGTCTGTTGGCTGCTGTGACTGCATGTGGGGAAATTTTTTTCCCAGCAGTTTCTGCGTGTGCATTGCGCCCAACTGCCCTTCACTGCAGTATACAGAGCCCAGAACAATGAGTCCTGGTTTAAAAATGTACATTGATTTAGCAACTGAATTCGGTTTAGTTCCCGATTTAATTAACACACATTGTTCACATAATTGGCTACTGGTTTCGCGTGAGTGCAGCTGCACTGACAGCGAGCTGGGGAAAAGATGGCGGGCCTTGACAATGCACTGCGCGTTCCTCATCTCCTTGTCGTCAGACTTACTTGGTTAAGAAATACGTCTGTCGTGGTAATAATAGTTTATTGGAATTATACTTCACGTCATGAACTCTCAGATTCCGTGTAAAGTACGAAAATGTGACTTGTAGTAATTAAACAAAATTTACCAAACGTTTAATTGAGAACCGTATTTTGTGTTTAAATCTGTTTTTCAGGCCTATGAAAAATTAATAATGTCGTCGACACTGAGCGAAACGGTGTTTATCCATGCATCTAACCCTACTTTTACGTTAGTTTAGGTTAGGTTAGGTTAGTTTAGTTTAAGTTAGGTTTCAAACGGGCTTCATTCTAAATCATTGTTAATTTTATAAACCTTCAGTTGTTATTAAGACAGTAAAAAGTAAAGTAAAGTTTGTCCCACTATACGCCATGTAGGCGTTTGGGGTGAGAGGAGGTATAGCTCCTCTCTTCCTTGACCTCGGCACTAGATGGGGGTGAGTGGTCAGCATCACGCCCCGGCCGGCTTTACCCCCGGGAAAGGACCCCGGTACCCATTGTAGAGGAGGCTGGGAGGGCCCCAGAGCCGGTCTGGACGCAGAGGCTAGAGGAAAAATCCTCTGCCCCCGTCGGGGATCGAACCCCGGTCGTCCAGCCCGTAGCTAGTCACTATACTGACTGAGCTATCCCGGCTCTTATTAAGACAGTAATTGTATTAATTTTGTTTTCTAAATTCCATATGGTCTCAATTACGAGGAAAAAAACAGTATATTTGCGCCGTAAAGCTGTTTTAATTTTATAGGCCTACATGTGCAAAATTTGTATTTGTTTCATTGGACTATTTTTTGCAAATGCGCTTAGATAATATATTCATTTATTTATATACTATTCGGCAGTAGAAAAATTTGTCCTTCTGAAATCAGCTAATTCCCAAATTACGTGACTGGCCTCTAAAAAAAAAAGATTTGCGAGCGCTACACGCGGCCCACGGACAGTAGGTTGGTCATCCCAGAATTCAACAGCCATCAGTGACTTAGGCGCTGTTGGTATTCTCTCTGTTCACTCCGTGTGGAAGACAAACGTGGACACGTTCTCGCAGTCGTGAGAACCTTCTTGTCCATCGGTTTTCACGGCTGAAGTTCGACGTATAACCCGGGCTTTGAGATGTGATCAGCGTCGGATCTTGAAGATGGCAACTGTAATGTTTGCCGAAACGTTAGTTAATACTGAATATTCGACGCTAATCACAACCGAAAGCTCAAGTTACACAGAACGAGTCACTTAATCTGGTTCACGCGTTTCGGTAACCTAACATAACTTAACTTAATTGAACCTAACCCAACCTTACCTAACCTAAACTAACATAACCTAACTTAACTTAACCCAACCCAACCTAACTTATCCTAACCTAACCCAACCCAACCTAACTTAACCTAACCCAACCTAAACTAACATAACCTAACTTAACTTAACCCAACCCAACCTAACTTATCCTAACCCAACCCAACCCAACCTAAC